AGAAACAAATTTTTCCAGATGACGACGCTGCACCTTCTAATCCTCGGGATCCTAACTGCTAATGGACAAAAGATAACTATGACAGAAATATCTAACCCCATCCTTCCCTTCTCTCTTGGAAAAGCGAGAATCACTACCCAAAAACATACATTTTTGAAACCTATCGACTTGAAACAATTTGACGACCCAATAAATAGTATAACAAACAATTCGAAATACATAACTGATCTCATTTCAATAAAAGACGTCTTATACCCACAACTACATCATATGCATAACCATCTGTTACAACTTTTCAAACAAATCTCTGCGAAATTAACAAACATCAAACCTCAAAAATTCAGCCGACCAAAACGAGGACTAATCAATTTCGTAGGCAGAACGAACAAATGGTTTTTTGGCACCTTAGACGATGAAGACGAACAAAAATATGACCAGGCTATTTCTACATTAACAAACAATCAAAAATTGCTACATCACGATTTGGAAAATTACATAACTATCACAAAAAGATTCCTGAACGAAACAACAAATAATTTGCAACAAATTGTCAAAAACCAACGACTTATCGGCGAACAAATAGAGACTATTGTGAACAGTCTGAATAAATATACGCTATTCTTACGGCTTCAAAACTCTCTCGATACAATGATAATTGATTGTCAAAATATACTGTCAACACTGAACAATATCGAAGAAGCGATATTATTCAGCGAACTGAATATCATTCATAACATAATATTACCAATATCCGAGCTCAAAGAATTAATCGAAATCATGCTCAAAACGTACAGAGGAAGTCTACCAGATTTCGATAACATTCAATCATATTACAAACTTCTGAAAATTGAAACGCTATACAAAAACGATTTAATTCTATTCACGATTCACGTCCCGATACTGCGAGAAAATCTTTACGATTATTATCATTTATTTCCTATCCCGATTTCCAATAATGCCATAATCCCCTCGAAACCATACATCATCCTCAACTCGACTTACCATCACTACGAGGACAGCCCATGCCATGAAGTCGAGACAACCTGTATTTTCCGCCCGGAAAATCAAATATCCAAGGAAGATTGCCTACCCGAACTACTGAAAGGAAAGAGCAGCCAGCCATGCCAATCATTACGAGTCCATCTAGACCAGGATGTAGTAGAACCTGTCAGTGATACCTATGTCATTGTCATTCCCGCCGGACACACCACCGTCGAGAAGAAGTGTAAAGAAAGCGGATATGAAGAAATCCACAAACCACAGCTGATCTACGTCCCTCAGAAATGCAGCCTTATCATTAATGGAGAAGAATACAGCAACGACGTCTCTTCGATACGAGAAACCCCTCTGCAACTACCCAGGGTTGAAATCATCGAACCCGACCATGCGGACCACCCCCTGAAGATCTTGGACAAGATTAACCTGGACGAGCTGACGAAGCTCCAAAAGCTAGCCGAGAATACGCAACTCCACCGACTCCAGGCCTTGGAAGAAAACAACACCCCATATACTACGTTTTATATTTGTATTATTCTGAGCATAATCATTATCGCTCTAACTATTTACTATTTCTCTATGAAATACAAGAATGATATTTTAAAACACTTCAAAAGTGACGAGACAAAACCTAAAGACTTGAATTCTGAACATAATACTACCGTATTATTTTCATCTTAGGGATGGAGGAGTTATATGCTCCAACCCCCAGAAAACCCTTAGATTGTAACTTCCATGTAGTGCTGACTTAGGTTTATACGAATACGATTGACCATGCTAGATAGTTAGTTTTCAGTTCTGTTAGCGACGTCGTACCGTCCACATCTCTCTGTACAAATAAAGTTATTTGTTCGAAACTAAAATTTTGGCTTTTTAAAAATAGTTTCTCGTGGCCCGAAAGCTTAATTTCCATTAGGGACTATTTGCTGACGTGCAAACGTCCCTCACCAGTACCTGTAGCAAAACACGTGTCGAGGCATTTGAAGAATCGGTTCGTTCAGTAGAACTTTTATTGTGATACTGATGGTTTCTGTCTCTTTCTAGTTTTTATGTCGAAAATACCAGAGCTGTATACGTCACTGTAATCAATGTCTATGTTAATGTTTCGTGTCCTACGCGACAAGCTTCCCAGTAGTACTCAGCTTTGAAACCGAATTTGTGAAATCAAGTGAATCTGAACAAATTGATTAGACTGCTGTTAGGACAACCGTGTTCAAGGTCGGGGATGATGTACTGGTTCAGGACACAAGAAATAAAACCAGCGAAAACAACTGAAACCTGTGACACACCCAGAAATACCTTCTATTTGAGAGAGTCTTATAATAATGTCATCATTTAATCGAAGAGTGATTCATCTCCTTCATCTAAAGACCAATTAGTTACTGCAACTGAGGCTACAGTTTTTCTAAAGCCGATAAAACTAGGAGAACCTAGTTTAGCTATAAATTAGATATTTACGATTTGATAACCCGTCGATAATCGTAATATATGAATTTACGATACGAATATTGTACAATATTTCACGTACTACCAAAAACGCTAATTATTGAATTGAAAATAGTTCATATGAATTAACGATTCACTAGGAATATATGTAACAAGCGAGCGTTGCGAGGGTTGGGCGTATACCTACCTACTATTGTAGTCTCGGTTGTTATTAATTCTGCGAACTGTCAACTTTGACGCGTTCATTTCGATTTGAGGTAAAAATACATCAACATGTATTATTCTGATCACGAAAGTATAGATTCAGATATAAAAGTTGCGACAAATGAAGTAATTTGAAGGTTAGTACCCGCTATACTTATCATCAATTAGTTCCTAATTCTAGTTTTTTTTGAGTAAACAACAGATTTTAAATGATGTTTTTACTCAACGGCAACCTTTGGGTGCGTTCTGATTGCCGTTTTGCATTCAAATATAATCATGAAAGTCATCAAATTCGGCCATAAAAAAATAGGCAAGTCGTCTGAATCGGATGTTTCTCCTTGTTCATCGTTTGAATATGAAAATAAATTCCGTACACACAAATCATTTGAATAAAGGTATAGTAGCTCAGTTGGAATATAATTTCGATGTGTAACCAAGTGATAGCGGAGCCAGAGTCTCCTTTTGGTACTGGTCTATCAATGTTCACAGGAATTTTGCATTTCTGCATACGGCCGTCTAGAATTGTTTGCTATGTTTTGACCACTGTTTCATTTGGATAATAAGAAACTGCAGTCGATTGCCTACACTGAGAAAAACTGGTTAATTAAAACGTTTAGTTGGTATTTTTTTATTACCGGTAATTAAAAATATTTGGAATTTTATTAACAATGGCAACGTATCCTATTTTTCGCCAATTATTTGTCATCAATAAAAATACTATTTGTGACAGAATTATCACAGTGTTGTCTATTCAGTCAATTAAAATTTCATATTGGCGTTAAAAAACCTCATTCTGGGGTTACTAACAACAACTGACTATTTGCCACAACTGATGACACATTTATCAAAAGGTTTATTATTATTCATAGCAGAAAATTGTTTAGCCATAACTAATAATTTTAGTTGTACTGCGTCGTTCGGGACCGCCTCGCGTCTCTTCGGGACCCACCGGCAAAAATTGCATCTTGCATCTGTTTGTCTTTCTGTTTCATCATTTGAACTTGTATCTTAATAGTGGATAGATCGCACGGTCGTCGAGCTTAGACAAAATAAATAAAATAATTGTCAAGTGTAGCCGGGAGCGTCGTGTTCTTGCTGGTTCACTGCTCTGTGTGTTTTCAAATCACTGTTTTGTGTTTTTTTGCACTTCGCGCTGAGCCATTTGGCATTTGGTTGGAAAAATAATAATTCGCAGTTTACCATCGTTATTTGTGCGTCACTAGTTATCAGGTTTAGGTACCTATTCACAATTCAGTTCAGTTTACGACGGGGGACGGTGCGAAACGTCCAACCGACGTCACGTGTACACGGTGTATATTTATAATTCCCTCTCTTTTTGCTGAGCTGTGGCCTGTGGCACTTACGGTGTATGGTGTATTCCTGTTCATATAAAACTATTAAGTTGCCAGAATAACTAAATTATATTTCAAACGTAACTTAATCACTTTTAATAGTAACTAGATTCCATTTCAGTCACAATTAAATATTTAATTTGCAACAACACACTCACTATTAATGTCAGAAGAAATGAGTAATTGCCCCAACTGGGATCATTTGATGTGATAACAAACATATATTGAAACAGTACTAACAATCTAATTGTCATAACTATGTATCTTGATTGTGGCAAATAAAACTTGGTATTATTCCTTAAAAAGGCTTATTAGTTACCACAACAACGTCGTAGATGACTCAACTAAACTTTTCATTAGAGGCAAATAGGCGTTTCCAGAAAAACAGAATTAGTTATGGCAACAACTAATGCTTGCTGTCCCCTATCGTACTAAAAAATGTTTCTGTAGTTACTAATTTTTTAGTAACGGCTACAAATTTTTTCCCTCAGTGTAGTAACCCCCTTGAAGAATTTGTATGTCTGGTGAATATAAGAAGTTAACGTTTCAAACAGAAAGAGTGTTTACTTGAATTAGGCCAACACAAATGATTTTCTCATTCGAAAAAATCCAATTCAATATTCGACAATCAGATATTATACTATATAAAAACAAATCACTGTGTATCGTGATATCGACACATCATACTTATGGCTCTTTCCTACAGTCTCCCTCATAATGATATATTCTATATGGAAACTTTTATAATCATCAACATCCATCGGTGTATGTCTATCTCAGTTATCGAGATAAAGAAAATGTTACATGAAACTTTCAATTCAGAGTTAAAGTTGTCGCACGAGTTCTCCCGAAACCAGAGTAATGAAATATGAACACAAAGTAACTAGTTGCTCTTTTCATCATAGAGCACACTGTTTCAAACTGTTGTTTTATTATTGATACTTCAGGAATGTTCGAAGATTCTGCTATCCTTTATTGACTTGACGCTTTACGGCTACTTACCGAGAACAATGGCGAGAGTTTTCGTAGCTTTTCTCTCTTTTTTTGCAGACGATTTCTCGCGTTTCTTCCTGCTGGCCTTGTTGACCTTATAGATGGTGAATCTGGCGGCCGCAGTAGCTCTCCTCTCTTTCTTCGAACCCGTCGAACTCGCTTTAGCCTCTGAAGAAGTTATTGTCGCCACCGTTCTGAAATAAATGCAAAATTATATTATGACACGGTGTTAAGCAAGTATGTGACCAAAGCACCAAGGGGTGATTTTTTAGGTCACTCTGAGAAGAAAAGTTGATACAAACATTGGTCCGGAATGGGATGTCAAAATTCATAAGAAGATAGTATATTGTTTAACGAGCATGGATTGATAGTGATTTCTTACGAGAATGAAGTTCCTATGGCTCATGCTTCAACCATTCGAGTAGGAAATTAGCATTCCGTATGATGACATACAAAGTACCTCATTGATGTATCGAACACAGTAATACAAGGGCAATCTTTTGTGTTATAGCCGTAAAAAAGAATGGTTTTTTCATAAATCTGATTATGACTGAATTAGCTCCTTATTGATCTGAATACGATATCAAGGAAAGCAGATCTTTTTATTAAAAGTTTGACACCTTCACGGAGGGAAGTTTGGCTATAGGAGTTTTTGCTGAGATATTCCTTGCTACCATTACAAAAAACCCTATTACCATCACACATTCCCAAATGAAAGCAGCACATTGAAATCCTATAATATTAATAACGAGTTTGCCAAAGATACATTTTCTACCACTGAACGGTATACTGCTGTTGGTATCTGGCAAATGCCTCCGAGGTTCGTCGCATAAAACTGCCCTCACTACCAATTATACTAATAATAATTCTTATACAATAATAAATAATGTGTGTGGTTTTTCCAGTTACGAATACTTCCTCTCTTGATTACAATTCATCATTCGAAATCTGAATCTGAATTCAAATATGAAGTGCAAACATTTTCAAACAAATAAAAAAGTCCTCTGTGCCCCTTTCAGTGATCGTATATAGATCTGAGTGCCTCAGCCATAACCTAATGATGGAGGTGAATTTATTCATGACATTGCTACTGAAATGTCAATATTCCACATTCAACATTTCCTTCTTTTCGGTCCAATGGAAATTTGAAGTTTACAAATAGGTTCCAGAGCTTCCTGATGAAATGAATTGATATCTATTGAATTTCATATAGATCTTTGCTCCAAAATATTCTTTAGCGATCTTTGAATTGTTATGCTAGGTGAGCAAGAAATATGGAATGTGAAATCTGATATCAGTCAGAATTTCACTTTTCTTAATGTCAACGACAGAATAACTACAGCAAGCAGGTCATCTAAGTATCTATGAATGCTTTTCCACCTATACTAACAAAGTTTTCTACCTATATATGATTATTGCATTGCTCCTCTCCCATCATTAGATGCACTCACTAGTGGTAGCAAAGTCAGATACCTTCTATAGAAACAGTGTCTAATAACCATTTGCAGATGCATTTGCTAGTAGCAGCAAGGTTCGATTTCAAATAATCAACAAAGTTGACTTCATAATCACAGATGATAACTCGCTTGTCCCCTAGGCTATTAGAGTTTCTTGCTGGGATAATTCGATATTTAACTATGGTTAATTGCAATCTTCCTCAATGATCTTTCTTGAAAAGTATGAATTTTTGAACTATTCTATCTTAGTATCAGTCAAATGATCGTCCCTTGAAGTTTGGCCACATACTTGAATAACACCCTGATTATATGGGTACAGGTATATAGTGAGCTGGCGCAAGTTTTGCTTCCAGGGAAGCTGATGGGTGTCCCAAAATGCAACATTTTCAATTTTGCCTTTCCTCAAAAACGAAGCGTTTCATCACCATTTCGTGAGTTTCACAAAAAAGTAGCCATGCAACGTTCGCGAAAACCGAAAATCTCTATCTCTGAAAATAACTGAGATATCCTGTCAGAGAAAATTTTCCCAAATCAAAAGTTCCTTTCTAGCTTTTGCTTCATTTCTAATGAGCGGGTGTTATGATCTATAACGCTTGCTCATATAACGCCGTATAGCAACCGTATCTGATAGAAAATAAACATATTACATACAAGTGAGAAATGAAATCTTGTCAATTGTGATTTTATACTATGATACTACTAACCTGGTGAGTATCTTTGACTATGCACTCTCTCTTACATTATTTATGACTTGTGGTTAATTCATAAACCAGTTTATTCAACTCTTCTGGTATCACGAGAATCGAATGGATTGCTATAGTTTCTCTCATAATATATATCCGAATTGAAGTCTTATGATTTCATTTGAAGGATTCAGCTGCCATTTTCAACATCGTTATGATTGATGTTGTCGAGATAGCAAACGGAACAAGATGCTATCGAAATTGAAAGAGTATATACATCAACCAAAATTGATGATCCGGAATCCACTTTCTCGAATCTAGGTAATGTGATGGCAATATCTTGTCCATATCTAATTATATTGCTATTTGCAAAAAAAATCAATCCAATATTTGATTTTATATATGTATATTTTAGTGAGGTTGTCACTGCTAGAAAATCAAGGCTCGTCTGATTTATGTTCGGTAGGTTCGTTTTTCGAAATGAGAAACGAGAAACTGATAGTTGTAAAAGACATTCACTGGAGCTGATAAAGATCCAAGAGGTACCACTTGGTACTGCGTGAAATTACCTAAGTTCTGTTTCTAGTGTTGTTCCATTTTTCTTGGACGAACTCTTTCTTCTCCTGGGGCTCCCTAACACCGATATGTCTTGATGACTATGGACGTATCCTGAATCATTATTGCCATTAGGATCGGCCAGTGGCGGCGGCAAGGTTGCTACAACTGTCGAAATTCTGAAACAAAAACAAAGATCACTGTCAGTTGGTTGCACAATCAAAATCATAATGTCTACAGATTCGTCAAATTTGAACCACATGAATGTTCAGTGAATATTTTCATCAGTATATTATGTAATTTGGTTACTTGATAGAGGGAGTATTCCGAATCTTTTGTATTTTCTTGCGCATATTCATAAAATCGAATATTTCATATATGCAATTACAGACTATTGATTTGTTGATATTGAAATTTCTTTGGAGAACTTCATTCAGTGCAATCATCAATCACTATGACGACTTGATCTCTTTGACAACTTCAAATTATTTTTATGACAAATTTCTCAAGCCCGTTGTTACCAAAGAACAAGCTTCTGAATGTCAGAATCATCTCAGGATATCACTACTGGAGAGACATTTAATTTTCGAGTTTTTACGATGATAAATGAGAAAATGGGGAATACCTATACCACAACTCTTTTATAATTATCATGGAATATCTGACCAATTCAATTATGATATTCCTCACACAGAAAGAAAGTGTGCATTACTTCAGATGGGGAATTATAAGGTTAGATAAGAAAGAATACTTGTGATTCTTCCAAAGCTTTATTTGCGTAGATCTTGAGGATTTCCTTTTCAAGATGGAGTGTTATGAAGTATGAAGAATTCTCAGTAAATACTTTGAAATAACAGATTTAGTATTCAGCATCCTAGATCCAAGATTTGAAGAAAAAAAAACTGATAGGGATGCAGACACAAAAGTTCTGAATAAAAAGTCTAACTGAATGATTCTCAAGTAGTATCAAGGATCAACCGCATATAAATTGTCCAATATAGAAAGTCATTTGGGTAATTTTTGGACAGTACCAAAAAATCAAGCACGTATTCCTTAACCCTTTCACCCCATCAAGATATATATGTCCCTACTCCTCCTGTGAGTTTAGGAATATTTACTGGTATGAATGTGTCCTTATTCCAACGGATTTTTGCTTTAGTGGTATTCTTCGTGCAAGAGCATCAAAATGCCTCGCGGAGGCAGTTATTGTCACAATTGATTGTGTCATATCTGTTTTTCTTCATTTTCATCGAGTGTTTGGCAGGTAGGGAATTACTCGATGCAAATGTGCATGATGTTATGAATGTAAAAATATTGAAAAATATTTTTGACACTTGTGGTTTTCACTTGCTTCGTGTGGTAAATGCTTCACTTGAAAGTAGTATTTACCCACAAAAACTTGAGACATCTTCGATAACACCAATACCAAAAGTGAAAAATACAAGTAATGCTAGTGATTTTAGACCCATCAACACTTTGTCCATAATTGAAAAAATAATAGAAACTGCTGCAAACAATCAAATCATAAGTTATGTAAATGGCCATAATATCTTTCATGGATACCAATCTGGCTTCCGCAGCAAACACTCCTGTGAGACAGCACTGCAAGTAACGATATCAAACTGGACTAACTTAATTGAGATAGGTCAATATATTGTGGCAGTGTTTATAGATCTAAAAAGAGCATTCGAGACCATTGATAGGAGTATATTGAAAGCTAAACTAAGACATAATGGCTTTGAGGAAGTTGTCTTAGACTGGCTGAATGATTACTCAACAGGTAGAAGTCAAGTTGTGAAAATAAATAATGCATTGTCAAATTAAAAGCTAGTTGATATAGGTGTACCACAGGGGAGTATTAAAGGCCCACTCCTATTTATTCTCTACTTGAATGATTTATTTTGTAACATAAACTGTGATTTTACGAATTTTTAATGCTATTAGCTATCAGTGGTGATTCACTAAATCACATGGCGAATAGGATGAATATAGAATCATCAAAGTTAGAAAACTATTTCGAAATAAATAAATTGAAACTTAAAGTTCAAAAAACAAAAGCAATGATCATAACAAATCCGTATAAGCACAGACTCATAAATACAAATGATATTAGTTTAGTTATCGAAGGCGAAGAAATAGACATTGTACATAACTTTAAATACTTAGGTGTTATGTTTGATAAAACTCTGTCATTTAACGAACACTTCAACATGATAAGGAATCAGATATCAAAAAAACTATCCTTCTTTTCAAGAATAGCATCAGTTTCCAAACTGAAATAACAGTGTACAATACTATTATCTGGCCACATTCCGATTACTGTGCTACAATACTGTATTTATTAGATAATAACTCTCGGTCATCGTTACAGAAACTTCAAAACTGAGGAATGCGAATGATTTTGGAATGTAATAGGCGTACCCCTATTCATGACATGTTGGAAACATTACAATGCATTACAATGCATTACTTTTGCATTGATTTTCATCTTCAAACTATTGAAGGGTTTATTGCCAGATTATCTAGATCAGTTTGTTATTTTTAGTGCAGAAATTCATGATTATATACCAAACGGGATCTCGTAATGATTTTCACCTAAGCAGAATGCTTACCAATAGGGGTACGAACTCAATGTTTCATGAAGGACTGAAAGAATATAATTCTCTTTTCCTCAAAGCATAAAAGAATGTGAGGCTGTACGAAACTTTGGAAAATGTATTTAGGAGTACCTGAGACGAAGGGACTTGCTATGATATAAGAACAAAAAGTTACCATTTATTTTTCTATATTATTTCATCAAGAAATTTTTAGTGTTATGCTGTGTGTTGTATGGCTATTGGAATTGTTAATATTAGGATGTATCCTATATTAAATAAATTCTATTCTATTCTATTCAATTCTATTCTATTCTAATGTTATGCATTCATAATAGTATAGTAGATTGATACTGAATATGGGTCGGACCCCTTTGAAACCGATGACGACCTCGGCAAAAATTACGAGACATCAGAGACATCATCATCTGATTCGGGTGGTCAACAAGATGGAGAAATTGACAGCGATGATGAGCAATCATCTGGGCAGAATGTGTCAAGTACTCCTTTGCCACGACTAATATAGAACTGTAAAATTATATTCACTATTCTACTTTAAAATTATATTGACTATTCCACTCTTGGTCTCTAGAATCAATCAGGATCGGCACATTTTACGGTTTTTTCTGTACTACAGTGATATTTTTCTTGTTTATTTGCTCTACCAATACAGAATCCATATTGACCAACACGTGACCAATCTGCCTCGTTTTTCAGTGAGGAAAATTTGGACGTTTAAAACGTCAATTTTGTTGAAAGCGAGAATGATGGATGCAGTGAGCGCCACTCTCGCGAGCCACTCGTTCATTGTCTCAATCATGGAATACTCATGAGAATACAACTTGTGATTCTATTTTTCCTGGAAATATTCGTCGATTGACATTCTCCAGCTTTCTGCTTCAATTTCGCTCATGACATTGTCCCAAAACCCGAAAGTTTTGATAAACAATGTCATTCGGTTAAATTATCAAGCTGTCGTAACAATCGCTGAATATTTCCGGCAAATTATCACTTGTAATATAACATTTGAATGGATATTTCACAATAGTTGGGCTTTTTTTACAGGTTACCAGTGGGACGGACATATATGACCTCGTATATGACCCATTTCACAATAAATGGGGCCCCTGTGTGTCCTATTAGTCAATGTCTGAAAACGAATTTCAGATAATGCAAACCGGTAGGAGTCACCTGATTATATACAAAATAACTCAGAAAGCACAATCCCAACTCAACTCATTGAAAAAAAAAAGTTGGGCTAATACCCTCGTGAAGTCAATAATGATGTATTTATATTCATAAAAAGTATGACTGATGCATGTAATTCTGATTTACAGGTGAGTATATACAGGGTGTTTCATAATTGAATGTCAATATTCGAGGAGATGATTCTTGGGCCCATTCTAAGAAGAAAGTTTCATATGAACGTATGACCTAAACGTCCTAACTTTTGAGATACAGGGTGGTAAAGTTCTCAAAAATAAATAGTTTTTTATTAATATCTGTAATACCACTTTAAATATTCTAATGAAATTTGGTATACGTGTACTAGGTATCAAGAGGCATCAGTTAGTGTACCACATTTTTTTTTGTTGCCACCAGTGGCGTTCGTATGGAATTTCACATACCTATTTTGGCAGACATTGATGGTACGCCACTGATTAATCTCGAAATTGAAATAATTCTTGAGATTCTCAATCATTTCTAAGCAAATTTGATCTCTACAATTTTTTCAATCTGATGCAGGGTTTTCGCTTAAAAAAAATAAAAACCTTTTCACTGCATGATCATAACAATATCCTTAATATGACAATATCACAATGCAGAGAAATAGATTTTATTTTTTAGGTCAAATTTCAGAAATACAATTCATAGTTTATGAACTTCGTATTCGTACTTGGTATTTTGAAATTATTACTTTTCATTGTAGTAGGCTGTGTCTGTAAGAATTATTAATTCTATGGTCAAGACAGTTGTCATTATTTTGTATGACAGTTCGTCAATTTTCAAATTCAGTTTTTCGCGTCTTATTAATTTAGTGTTTAAAATATTCGAGCATTGTTATTTTGAAAAATAATGGTCGAGTTTACAAATGAGGAGTTGGCAGATATGCATTACATGTATGGTTTGGCTGATGGCAGATCGCCGGAAGCTAAGCGATTGTATCGAGAGCGGTTCCCTAATAGAGTAATACCAGATAGGCGAACATTTGCAAATGTACATAGGAGGTTGACTGAAACAGGTACTTTGCAGGCGAATAATCAATTAAAAGGAGCCCATTGCACTGTAAGAACTCCAGAAATTGAAGAAGCAGTTTTAAATTCCATTGAAGAAAATCCTGAACTGAGTACTAGAAAAATTGGAAATAATCTGAATATCTCGCACGTCCTAGTTTGGAGAATTTTGCACGATTTTCTATTATACCCATACCATATTCAACGGGTCCAAGCGTTACTTCCCCGAGACTTTCCCTTGCGTGTTAATTTTTGTCAATGGTTTCTGGAGAAAATTGCTCATAATCCCTTGTTTGACCGTGAAATAATGTTTACAGATGAAGCTAACTTTTCCAGAAACGCAATCAGAAA